GCGCAGGTGGCCGAGCTGATCGTTGTGCGCCGCGCGGTGCGACTCCATCTGCTGCTCCAGAGCCCTCTGAGAGAAGAAGACCCGCCATGAGAAAAAAAAATAAGTCCCCTTACCAATTGGCAGTTGGGTATTGTTTGTTTGAGTACACAAAGAAGTCCATGACGAGTTTTCAAGGTTAACTGATCCTCTCTGTACCAACTAACAGTACAGCGAGAAACAAAAACAAGCGATTTCACTAAACTGTTCCTACCAATTTGTAAGAACCCCAAAAATATTTCAATCAAGATGATTGTGACTAAAGTACCTTTTCCATTATGCAGATAATGAGTTCCTGGGTGAACAGCGATCCCCAAAACACGATTCACTCGCTCCCCTCATCACTTTCAAGGCATTTTTAGAGGACTTCTTTTGTTGTCGTTGTCAACTAGGACTTAAAAAATTCCATCTAGTGATTAGTTGGTGGGCTTGGAGTGAAAAATTCCCCACAGCACCTGAGAGCATGTAGCTTAGCACCTGGAGCAAGGCCTTTTGGTGTTCAATTTTCAACATTTTTGCCTGTGATGCACACATATTTTTTTAACTGCGTTTCCATGGTCAAATGTTGGAAAAGGTATCAAAATAATTGAAACAAACTACCCATTTGGCATGCAAGCCACCTTCACACCGTGATTAGTTTGTGCCTTTAACACAGAACCGAAAAAGATGGGGAAAAATTCTGCTTTGACAGGCTCTGTGAAAGGGGCTTAAGTATTACTAAAGTATGGTACGAATAAATTATGCAGTTTGAAGGGAACAAAAGACTTGTGTGGTTGTACAGGGAGGGATTTGTAGCAGGTTAGGCTGATTAAAGACAGATGACGAATGTGCAATTGTAGAAAATGTTTTTTGTTGAAGCAGAGTCCACGGAGCACAGTATTTTCCCTCTCCTGAATCTTTCAAAAAGGTTATTCAAAGCAAATACCCACGATCTGCTGCTTGTTAAGAGGGATTTTACGTCCCTGATTTGCTACGCCAAACATTCGGGACCGACAATTGTACAAGTTAAACCTGTTCAATGGTCACAATAGCAAATCTTTATGTGCCTAGATTACCCAGAGTTGAGTGATTGTGGTGTGAAAGCAAAGACGAAGCACTCAGAAAGTGAGCTGAAGCAATTTCTAGTTTTTCTACCACTACACTGATGTTGTCTCTCACATGTCATTCTTGCTGCTATGATGGACATCTGGTTTGGGGGATGAGACTTGTTACGTGCGTGGGGTAATTGTACGATTTCTTCTTCATCATGTGTGGGGTCTCGAACATTTTAAAAATCGCTTCGCATTTACCATGACGTCGGTGGTGTCTGTCAGACAATACTGAACAAATAGCGAATCAGTTTACTCGAGCAGCGGAGCAACACACAGAATAAATACGGAATTCCAAACAAAGCCCACGCTGTTGTAGTAAAGCAAAGCGTACATGCACATAAACACTGGCAGTCTGCAGTTAGCTGATAGCGATGTGAAAAATGGCCGCTGCATGAGGTTACTTTGTCTTGTTGTTGTCATGGTTACCTGGATGTCACGGCATCCCTGGACAGAGCCATTCTGCTCGCTGGCCAAGGGCCTCACGGTCTCTATAAGACACACACACACACGCGCGCACACACACACACACACACACACACACACACAGACACACACACGCACAGAATAGAATGACTGGATTTTCTGATTGTTGACATGGCTCCTGGCTTTGAGTGTGTATCCCCACCCCTTTGCAGCATGTAGCATTATCTGCACGTTCCTGGGAGGGATTCTGGGATTTTTCTGTGTCACACACAGGTACACGTATACACTCACTAAGACAAAACAAAGCTCTCTGTCTTGTGGCTAAAAGAGGTCAAAGCAGTCAGCTTGACTGACAACCATTTCCACCCACAAGACTACCTCCTAGTGTGTGGAGTCTTTTTGAACCAAACATGACCTCAATTTCTGAATAAAATGCCGTGTGGTCTGATGAGTTATAATTAGTTACGTTAAAACAGATTTTATTTTTCCATTTTGAAGAAGAAATACATTTATTACAATGCTTTGGTTGCTTTTAGCACAAAACTTTTTACCCAGCAATTAACGGAGGATAGTTTTCACCAGAATTTGAAGAGAATACTTTTTCTTACAGTTATACATGCGTCCACTATTTTGTTGCGGTGTTTGTCGTATTGGATGTGAGTGGCTGGCTAGTTTGGATAGATACAACAATGCACATTTACACTTAAAGTATTTCTGTCGTATCAACAAAATTCTATTTAAAATAAACAAGTTAAAAAAAAAGCCAATTAGGAATCAAAACATTTCGCAAATGATGACGATTTGAAGTTTTAGTTGACCTTTGAGGTCATAGTAGATACCATATTGATTTATCGTATTTCCCGCATTATAAGGCACACCTAAAAGCATTCCATTTTCTCAAAAGCCGACAGTGCCCCTTATAATCTGATGTGCCTTCTATATGATCAATATTGTGATTTCTTGGACGTAGTATTTTAAAAGTTCTGTAAAGTGCTTTGTTACAGCTTCAGCGGTTGTGAAAGCTTTATATAAATAAAGCTGCTTTGCATTGTATTGTATTCCCTTTAGCGTAGCTCCATCTAGTGGATGCATAACGTAAACGCAGTCACTATTATAGCTTCTATTCTATGCGCCTTATAATGCGGTACCCCCCAATAAATGAAAACTGTTTTAAAATCGGCCATTCATTGAAGGTGCATCTTATACTCTGAAGCACCTTATAGTGGGGAAAATACGGTAGTTGGTCCTCTTGAACTAATCCAACGTTGAGGACCTCAGGAACAAGTGCTCGCATTGCCTCAGGCGAGTCAACCTGTGCAGCATTTTTTTCCCCGTCACCACTGTATTTATTTTTTAGATTTTTGTTGTCTTCTACATTTAATTCTGCCTGCTTGCCAACAGCACTCGCTAAAATGTCACACATTGTGCTGAACGTAGGTATACTATTCTCTCTGGAGATTTGCCTGGACTGGATTGGCTCTCAGCGCTTATTTATCACACCTTAAATCTGCTCTTCTGCTCAGCAGATATCGATAAGACCCTCATTCTCCATAGAGTGTAAATGCGCGTTTGATTGCTGCGCTGTCGTTTTTTTAGGCATCAAGCAGAGCCAGCAAGAAAGGAGAATGTGTAAACACAGCACGGGTAAAGTAAATGTTGATATGCCCTCGCGTTTAATTAGATTCGCCTTTCAGGGACTCGTGAGTTGCAGTGTTGTGCTTTAAAAGGCACTTTTTATATTCACTGGCATTCTGTCTGGGATTCACCATCTACTGAGCATGAGTAAGAGCTGTACTGAAGAAAAAAATGTGGCTTTAATAAGTATAATAATGTCTAGTTTTGATGTAGTCAGCGTAATATACTTTTTATATATTCCTTATATAAGCAGTCTGGTTGAAAACGATATTTTCCAAAGATGTGAATATGAGTGTGAATGGTTGTTTGTCTATGTGCGCCCTGAGATTAACTGGTGACGAGTCCAGGGTGAACCCAGCAACACCCAAAGATAGCTGGAATAGTCTCCCTCTCACCTGCAAATGCTAAAGAAAATACATTGATGGATTTTGTTTATTACTAAGGAGCCAATATGGAAATCACTCATTCAAAGATGAGCATTATTACCTTTATAAAGGCAGATTTGGAGTAAAATTTGCTGTATTGGATGTTGCTACATATCCAATGACCACGTTTACCTAATTTGGAGTTTTCTCTAGGAAAAATATGCCTCACAAAGTCAAACAAAAATTTGGGAGTTTAACAACTATCATTATGATCAGAGATCCCAAAACATCTTCCAGATTAACTATACACAGAGCAAAAAAGTTACTGTGACATATGAATGGATCTGGCTGCTCATTGCAAATAGGTTCTGCGCAATTCCCCAAAATCAAGTCCAGCAATATTTACAACAAACCCTACTTGACAATTGTTAAGCCTCTTCATTCCGTGACTGTCTGCATCTCCAAAAACCATGACATTCCATTTGCTAACATTACACTGTCGGATTCAACATCCATCTTTCTCAACTTTAATATATTTCTGTACCTCGAGCTTGGACCTGGGCCAGCTCCTGCGCCAGGGAGTCGTAGCTTTCCTCCAGTTGTCTCCTCTCGCGTTCCACGTCCTGAGCGTACTCGGTCAGCAAGCGGATCTTGGCCTCATGCTGGGAAGAAACGGAAAGAGTTTGAGAGGCCCTCAAGAGAACAGTTAAGAAGTATTTATCTTGTACGCACGGGGCAATTAACACTTGACTCAGTGCTGAATACTGAATGTGAGTTCACAGAATAAAGTGATAAACAAAGACTCGTGATTAGTAGACACACAAGCGAATGTATTTAAAACCCCATGAGGACCTTTCATCATCTTGGCATAAAAGTGTCAGTAACAGAGACCACCGAAAAGGGGAATAGCGTTGGATAGTGACCTTCAACAAAGCTTTCTCTTCTGGCTTCTCGTCAAGACAAAAAAACACTTCTTTCTGTACATGTGATTGCATGTAAAAAATATATACAGCGGGGGTTTATCCAACTAGTTGAATAGTCGACACATGAACTTTATCACTGAGCAATGATGGTTAGAGCGTTTTTTGTCTTTCATTATACAATGTAGTATTGTAGCAAGTAGTGACCCTGCCGTTGTGTTTCATGAATTGGTGTTCAGAGTGATACAAGTTCCGACTGCCAGCTAGGCCGTGAAGGTATGGAAAATTGAGCCAGGAGAATAATCCGACAGCCAGTTTGTTGGCGTGGCGTGGCATGGCTTTTAAACGCAGATAGAGGACAAGGATGATTCGTGTCAGGTGTGGCTCATGAGGGAACGCCCACTCTCCAGCTGGAGACTGACACCAAAACAAAGAAGAATCATGACAAACATGTTTTGGAAATCTAAACCAATAAGCCAGTTACTTAATAAGGAAATGAATTTAAAAATGATTACAAAATGTTTAAACACATTTTAGTGAACCAATTTTGAGGGGGAACATTACAAAATTAATAATATGAATATGTTTTGTAAATCGACCGAACTAATCACCCAGTTACTCAATAAGAAAATACATTTCAATATTATTTTAAAAAACTTATTAAATAATTTCAGTCAACCAATTTTAAGGGAAAAAAAGTCATTTCAACAAACATTACAGAACAATCGGATTAAAGAATAAAGGCTCTGTCCAAATTTTTCTCACCTGTTTACTATACAGCGCTTATGAAATTTATTAGACCACCCATTATAAGGAGACAATCCAGTCGTATAAGGTGTTTTATCGTGGATGCTTTCCATTTCAGTGAGCACAAATTGGTTTGTCATTTTGAACATGAATGAGGAATAAATGTGTCCAATAAACTTTACACGACATGAAATACAGTCGCCTCAGAGTCCGATAATGAGCCCAACAGGGTATGCGCAGTGCAGTGCCATAATGATCATGCTATTTACTCAATTGCAGAGAGTACAAAAAAAACTTACTTGAAGGAGGCATTCATCTGAGGTGAAGTGTCCAAATGCTTAAGGGGATAACGTAGCTGGCAATAAATGGAAGCGTGGCAATTTCTGGAGTAGAGGCCACTATTAGTGTATGGTAGATTGTAACTTGCAAATGGACTCCTATTTCTGACTGTGACTCTCACAAACACTTTCCGCTTAAAGAGACACTTGCTCCTGTCGCAACGCAAGTATTTGTTATGCCTCCACTGTCATTCATCAGCAATCTTTCCCGTGTGTTAGCCACTTTGCAGGATTACATAGTATTTTGGCCCTGCTTCAGGCGGATGCCGTTCGTGCTGACAATCAGCTTGATGGAGCACTGACTTATGCTTGACACATGGACACACAAGGCTGTTATGTTCCTCTATTCTGCTGAGAGGTGCATCAACCATTAAATATGGAAACTGATGCATGTGCATGTTCATTTCCCTGGCTGTGGCGTGGGTTGCAAATGCCCAGGGCGAGCCAACCATTTGCATGCCCGCTCCCCCAACCATCACCTCGAGAGGATTTACACATATTTAAACACAACTGATCTAGCACTACTGTAACTGCATGTGAAACTATAATAAAGAATGTATGCCATAAATATATATCCCGGATTTAAATATACAGCACTTGTAATTAAAAGCATCGTTTAGTTATCAAAGGATGAATTCAAAATTCCAGTTCAGAACGCTAAACGAAAACAGATCAATGTTTCGTTTGGATTCCGAAGACAATTATGCTAGTGTAACCTCCCAAGATGGCTGCTGTAGAAAAAAAAAGACCTCCCAGAATGCCTTGCTCTTGAATGCATGCAAGCAACGTCTTCTATCAGCACTTTTTTTGATAGAAGTATCAGACTTACTGCACATACCTACAAGGAAAAGGCTCAGCTATGAGTTTTGAGGTTTGAGAAATTACCGTAATGCTATTGATGAGCCAAATGGAAAAAGAGAGTCATTTGTGTTAAGTTAACTACAGAATACAGTAGTTTATGTAACGTTGATGATTGTGTACATGCTAGAAGCATAGTGTTGGTGCTTTGTGACCCTTTCTGTTATTTTAAATGTTTTTGTATAACATTGCGCCATTACAAACACCTTTTAGGGAGCGCATTTCTCTTGTGTTTTCAACGCGTATGCTTGCAGGTTGTTTCATATCACGAAAAGGAATGCAAGTGAGAGGAGACACAATCAATTTTGCAGTGTGCTAGCTATGTGGTGACATTGACTTGCATCCCACCTGTGCGACAAGGAGGTGGCAGGAGGACAGCTCCCTGCCCGTCTCCTCCATCTTGTGCCGGCACTCGGCCTGAAGGCTGCCCAGGTGCCGGCAGCGCTTCACCATGGACTTCACCTCTGACTTGATCTTGCTGATGTACAGGCGGGCAAGCGTGAACTCCTCCTCGATGACACCCGTGATCTCTGTGGACTGCGCACACACGTGAAGGTGATTGAGTGAGAAAGTTAGTTGAACTGCACCGCAGAGGAAGGGTAAAAATCCATTTTCACATGACAGCGAATAAATTGATGAAAACAAAAATGTATGGCTTGTGCTCACCTTTTATATTGAGTTTAATCATTGTTGCCTGAACGTAATGGCAAGCACTTTGGCATCCGTCCACAGAGCAACACACAGATGGCCATTCTCCACCCACTTTATTCAAACTCAAATTAATTTTAAATCCTCCATAACAAAGGTTGGCAGAGAATTAAAGCTGGTGTGTGTGACTTTGCCGATGATATGTTTCAAAGTTTTATGATTTTTGTTCTTTAACCAAGCTAAAGCCACCTTGATTTTGACTGGTCCATCATTTCGGTGATTCTCAAATTGTGGTACTCGGACCACTTGGGGTTCATGAAAGAATGACTGTGTCAGTGCAGTTCATTTGCATTTGACCTTTGGGTATGATACATTTGCATGAAAGATTTGTAAAGTTTGTACACTTTTGTATTTATACTGCATATATACTGTCGGTAGAATTTTTATTTAACATTTATGTGCAAAACATTTTAATTGAATCATTATCTAAGTACATCTTTTCTATATTTAACAGGGCTCCAGACTGCCCCTAAATGTTCCCATTTTGCCAATAAAATATGCAAAGAGGCAAAGATTTTTTTTTTCATCCACTCGCACAAGCGCACAGGATGAAGCCACAGATTTTTCATTAATTGTATTTATTTTCTTCCTTTTTTTTTGTTTGTTTGTCGTTGAAATCATTCTGCTCTACACTGGGGGAAACAGGATGTCGTCAAAAAGAAAACCCGAGCAAGACACACTGGGGTATAGGGACACAAAAACATTTCGAACTCAAATAGGCATGAGTTAGGATAAGCCCCACGTCGCTCGTGTCGGCTAGCCAGATCGCCGCCAGCTTTAGATTCATACCAGCTGGACCACATTACGGAACAAACGATGCAAAGTGACTCTTAGTCGCCAGATTATGTCCGATGATATACAACTGCGTGCTAAATATGACTTCTTTCATCATGGATATTTTAGGACACCGTGCTTCAACATCGAGAAACTAGATGGTCACGTTGAAGCTTCACTTGCTTATCATGCAAATTTCCTTCCGCCCCTAAACTGAGACAAGTTCATTATTTCAGTATGCATATTTTTTTTATTGTTTTTGTTCGGTGCCATGACATATTTTTGGAACACACGTACATACTGTATACAGTAGTACAGTACAGCACATAAAATGACACAAATAGTGTTGTTTCCACTCATTGTTATGCATTCCATCTGTTCACAAATTATGATTTTGAAGCTTTGTTGTATACATACAGTGTAATCGTGGCATGGTGTTCATATGCCGGGAAAAGGAAAGACAGTATGTTAAATAATTAAATATGTGCAATTTTGGCTCCAACTGCTTAACGTGCATGAGGCTGATGAATATTTGAAAAGCGCGCCTATAAATAGGAAACCTTTTGGAGAATTTTAAATGCCCGTGTCTTCCTTTCATCCTCCATTGCACACGCGCATCCGCACTCACCAGTCTGATGTCCTGAGTACCCACGATGGCGCCGAACTCGCTCAGGTCCTTCATCAGTCCATTGAGGACTTCGGCGATGCACTTCCTCTGGTGGCGGCTCGCTTCCTGGATGTGAGAAAGCTCCGCCTCCAACGCCACCAGGTGAGTCTGCGGGAGTGGATGGGGGACAGTGAGTGTGAAATACTCTAAACTAGAATCAAACAGATATACATTTTATTGCAGTCCTAATCATAACTTATTTACTAAAACTATTATTATTACTAATATTTCTAATCATTTTTCAAAATAATATTTTTTCTTGTTTTAGTATCATTGTATCATTATCAATGGTAATAAAATCATACCTTAAATTGATAATAACAACAGTTTTATTTTATTGATGAATTACATTTTTGCAGAACATTGTTGCACTTCATTATACATGTATATTCAATCATAACAAGACACAAAATTATGTAATGATCATGTAAAATTATGTATATAATTATCATTTTATTGTTATTAACAATATATGTATCATATATTAAAAAAGTAATACAATACTTTAAATGCATCGATCTGAAAAAGTTATTAGAGTATTTTTATAATATTTATATGAATCTGCCTTCACTTATTTAATACATTATTATAATGATAACAACTATTATTATTATTATTATTAGCATGGATATGATACAGTTACCCACGTTAAATAATATATACACATATATAT